TACAAACTGGGATTAGAATGAGGTTGTATCTAGGGCGTTGGCATGTTTTTTTCTGCTTTCTTCTTCACTATCGAGTTACTCAGCACCTTGTCGTCTGTATGCAAACCCCTAATCCACTATCTGTGATGGCGAATGATCGCGGGCTTTGCCTTTAAGTTCGGGAAGTGGCGACAGGGGCGACAACATGCGCAGCGAGAGCGCAGGATGCAAAGGAATGTTCATTTCCCTGGCGCAAAAGATGCAATCCCCGTGAACCGCCAATATTCCATAGTTACGCAGCAGACGCCGCGCTCTCATACAAGGCAGCGTTCAGAGTTTGAAATGGCACGCGTCGACGCGCTGTGCTGCGTTACTATGCAGCAGCGCCCACCCCCGACCAATGGCGTCCACCAGCGTTCCAAGCGTCCGGCAGCGTCATGAGACTAGGAAAGATGGATATCGATCTAGCGTGAGTCAACGTGCACGAGCCTCTCGAGGGCCAAGGAAGTATAGATATTAATCTAGCGTCTGCCAGCGTCCACCAGGGTCCCTGAGTAAAGGGTACATAGGAGTTCAGCAGGCAATCGGTAGAGTATGGGGAGGGAGGAGAGCAGCAGACTGCTGGTACCTTCATAGCGCACCATATTTTCTACCAGCAGTCTGCTGGTGCACGCTGAGAGACGCTTGCAGACGCTAGATCGATACCTATACTTCCCCTCGCCCTCGAGACGCTGGTAGACGTTGCTGGACCCTGGCAGACGAAAGATAGATCATACAAGGTGGTATCTATGCTTTCCTAGTCGCTGAGGCTGCGAGACGCTCGGAACGCTGGTGGATCCTATTGTTCGCTGGTGGACGCTGCCGCAGAGTATGAACGCAGTCTATGCGCAATAACGCGCCGCGACGACGGTGGTATTGAGGTTCCGGCAAAGCTTCTTACGTTTTGTGTGTATATTATTTTGCGCACTGATTGCTGCATTAGAAACTGCATTCTCCCTTGCGTCTCAGTAGTACATCTGAAGAGAATTTTTTGCGCTATCTGATGGTATAATTGCCGTTTCACCATTGCTTGATTGACCCCTTTTTTCAAGAGTTTTTCAAGCATGTCAAAAGAGCAACTTCGGACGATATTGTTCTTCAACTACAAATTGGGTCCTCGGCAGCGAGACAGCTGCGAAAAACTTAACAGAGGTGTGGGGCCCAATAGTGCTGGAGAAAGCACCGTGCGACAATGGTTCGACAAATTTCGTTCTGGAGATTTCAGCCTTGAAGATGAACCTCATAGCGGTCGACCTAAAGCAATATCCTGACGAGGATTTGAAGGGATTTTGGAGGGATCCGGTCAACCCAAACAGTTCGAGCAGATTGCAGAAAAGACACGCGTTTGGCAGATAGTCACTGCGAAGAGTCCACTGCGCAGATAGTCTTGCGAACGCCATTGGCAAGCGTTAAAAAACTCGACAAGTGGGGCCCGACAATTGAGGGGACGATTCAGAAATGGCCACGTCTGCGAGGTTTCGTTCTTCACGCTTTGCACAACAAAACGCACACCGCTTTTGGACCGAATTGTCACGTGTGATGAAAAGGAGATCATGTATCATAACAGGAGACGTTTTGGACAGTAGTTGAACGCCGAAGAACCACCGAGCCAATTTTCCAAAGCCGAACCCTCACGAAAAAAAGATTCTGGTCACGGCTTGGTGGTCATCGGCTGGTGTGATCCACTATAACTTTTTATCACCAGGCCAAACCATCACAGCAGAACCCTACTGTGAAGAAATCGACGAAATGTACCGAAAATTGCGTCAGCTGCAGCCAGCACTTGTCAACAGAGAAGGGTCCGATTCTTCTGCATGACAACGCCCGCCCACACGTTTCACAAATCACTATCCATAAATTGAACGAATTGGGGCCGTTGAAGTGATCTTACCTACCCGCATATTCTAAAGACCTTCGGCAAACGACTATCGACCCTTTTTCAAACATTTTCAGAACTTCCCTTGCCTGGGAAAAATACTCATCAGCCAGCACAAGGCCAAAAAAGCCTTGCGTTGGCATTTCCGTACGAGTATCTCACCACCCAGTTTTTTTCTTTTATAAGATTTCTCGACAGGTGTCACATTGGAAAAAGCGTGCTGATTCGAACGGTGCTTGTTTCGATTGATCCGATGAGTATCAAGAAAGTTATGATCGTTTAAAGTGAAACACTCAAAAAGCTGAGAACTTTCCGGACAACCTACTACAACTGTAGCCCCCAAAAGCTGTAGAAGTAAACACTGCAAAGAGCGGCCATGCCGATCAATATCAATTGAATCTGAATGGCTGCGTAGCAACAGCGACGTCCACGGAACACCTATTCATTCTATTCCCCCCCCCCCTCTCAAACACATGCCGACCGCCTCTACTCCCACCAACGCCTAAAGCCGCAACGATCGATGAGAAAGTGGCTGGCGCCGAGCCAAGACCACGCCCTGACTGACTCAAGTGGTAATGGTAACTACTGTATACAGATATATGCAGACTTCACTCCCTATGGAAGTTATAAGGATGCCCACAACATCCAGTTAATGCCAGTAACTGGGAAAGATGAAAAAAAGAATTGAGACTGAAAAAATAGCAGAATTAGTAGACGGTTCATTGAACGTGTTTGAAAACCGACCTTGTAGATGAAGTGCTGTGGTGTGAGCTTAAGCTCACCGTCATCGGTTTGAAGCTTAATGAACGACGCAACGGTATCAGGAAGGCGATGAAGGAAGGAGACGACGGGCGTGAATACAGTCTTAATGATGTTCTATTTTAGAAACGACACAACAAAATCTCTGCAGTTGGTCTATTCAGCGTTAGACTAGGTCACACTCTTAAGCTAGTGCCTTACCCACGTAATACAAAGAACAGCGCAATACACTAACCGAGTTCACTTCAGCAGTAAGCACAAGATCTCCGATTTTTAGTTGATCCATTCGTTTCGTACCAGATGGCGTCTCTACCATGGTGTCACCAGTGAAACAAGCTGGTACACCGGATGCGACTGGGTAGTAATATCCAGCGGAAGTTACTGGCACCACTTGCTCTCCAACCTGCAAATAGCAATAACAACGAGTAGTTTGGGAGCTAACATCACCCACGGACCTGAACGATCTCTTCGCCGGATACGGGCTGCTCGTTGACAGGCACTTCATACGAATCAGATGGTGCCTGTGCTGCTTCACCGGAAGGTTGCTGGGCTCGCACGTCTCCCACTTTGTCGAGAATTCGCGAAATATCGTTTGTGTCCAAAGCAACTGCAAGAGGTCACAGTATGATTATGGGTAAGTCCCATCAGAATGGTGTGAAGGTTGCAGCCGAAATGGGCCCAGTTGATGGGAGACTGGGATGCTCTAGGGCTAAACAGTAAAGAACCCTCCTCACTAATATACCAGCAGCGCTATCGAAGAACTTTCT